GTATGAATAATTGTCGTCCTATGTACAGATACTCCAGTCTCTGCTGTGGAACTCTGCAGCTCCTCTAGGGTTACCTTAGGTCTCTGTGCTGCCTCTCTGATTAATGCCCTCCTTGCCCGGTCCGTGAGTTTTGGTGGGTGGCCGTCTCTTGGCAGGTTTACTGTTGTGCCATGTTCTTTCCATTTGGTTATGATAGAGTTGATGGTGCTCCTGGGGATCATCAAAGATTTGGATATTTTTTTTTATAACCTAACCCTGATTTGTACTTCTCAACAGCATTGTCCATTACTTGTTTGGAGAGTTCCTTGGTCTTTATGATAATTTTTGGTTAGTGGTGCCTCTTGCTTAGGTGTTGCAGCCTCTGGGGCCTTTCAGAAAAGGTGTGTGTATATGTAATGACAGATCATGTGACACTTAGATTGCACACAGGTGGACATCATTTAACTAATTATGTGACTTCCGAAGGTAATTGATTGCACCAGAGCTTTTTATGGGCTTCATAACAAAGGGGGTGAATACATACGCACATGCCAGTTTTCTGTTTTCTATTTCTAAAAAATAGTTTTATGTATATATTTTTCCCATTTCACTTCACCAACTTAGACTATTGTGTTCTGATCCATCACATAAAATTCAGATTAATAAAACATTGAACTTAAGGCTGTAATGTAACAAAATAGGTCAAAGTCAAGGGGGAGGGGAGTGAATACTTTTGCAAGGCACTGTGCATTTGCTATTCTTTCATATCTACTTTTTATTTGTATAAATGGTTTTGTGAAGTTTGAAACATATATGCCATTTTTTTCCTTTCTGTGTTTCTGCAGACTAACAGCTCCTCAGCTTCTAGCCTGTCATTTCTTCTTCAGCATTTGACTGTTTTCCAGTTTGAAAGCAGAGTGAATCAGAGTGAAGCAATAATTCTCTATGTGAGTTATTAGTTTAGCAATATCAGATACAGTGTACTATGGATCTGGAACAATCAAAGACATAAGGCCTTATGCCTTAAAGCAAAACAGCTTCTGAAAATTGAATCCCTGATAGAAATCTAATGCCACATTCTGCTTCTTCATAACAACCTTTCCTTCAATATCAAGCAAAATACCACATTGAAATATAAATACTTATATGGCTAAATGCATTTGTATTTTAGTAGTTATGATATATTTTCTATCATATTTCATGTGGATTGATTATTGTAGGGAAAATTTTACCAGCTAACTATATTGTTTATGTTTTGGAATTTAGAACCGCCATCTAAAACTAGGACATATATCTGTAAATATAACAAAAGGGACAGATCCCAAGAGAACACTGGGAATGGGTAAAATGTGAATGTTAAAGTTAGCACCAGTGTCTCAAGCAAATTAAAGGGACACTATAGTCACCTGAAAAACTACAGCTTAATGTAGTTGTTCAGGTGAGATCTATAGCTCTCTGTAGGCAATCTAATGTAAACACTGTATTTTCAGAGAAAATACAGTGTTTACATTGATTGATAGGAATACCTCCAGTGGCTGTCACTCAGACGGCCACCAGAGGGACTTCCTATCATGAATGGCCCTGAAAAGGCCATGTACACGTCAGACATATTAAAATACGTCTGACGTGTGCAGGAGAGAGAAGGCACTGTGTGCTTGCCTTCTCTCTCCTGCCTGTCAGCAGAGGAGAGGGGGCGGGCAAAGACCGCGAGCTGAGCTGTCAGTCAGCTCAGCTCACATCCGCGCACACCGCATGCTCAGGACTTCATAGGGCTGCATTCAAAGCTGCGCATGCGCACAAGGGAGCAATGATGCTTCTGAATGGAAGTGTCTGATTGCTCCCTGCTCGCGCCTGCCTATTTCGCCATTTTGACGAAATAGGGGGCGCGGCTTCACGAGGCTCCCGGCGCTGGAACGAGGTGAGTAAAAAGGGTTGCCTCGAGTGTCCCTTTAAAGCTCACTTTCCATTAGAAAGCAAGATAAACCATTTGAATATAAGCACAGTCCAGAAGGACAGTCCAGATCCAAAATACTAACAAGTTTTCTTTGCATAAAAGATACTTCAACCCCAGACACAGACATTGATTTCAGGCAGTGTGAGCTTCATCAGTGATATATAGCTAAAACACCTGTAGGCACAGTGAGCAAGGTGCTGATTCCCAATTTGCCTTCAGGTTACCCTAAGATGTTTCAAACCAAAGCAGGAAGATAACAAGACAATGGACAACTCAAATTGCTTTTCCTTTAAAGGGGTCTTTAAAGGGGTTCCTACTTAGGTGTCAAGCTACTTTTAGTGTCACGACTGCTAGTGTGGTCCAACACGCAGAAACATATACATAGAAATTGAAAAGGAAATAAAAGGACAGAACGTAAACCGGTCCTTAGAATGGCCGGACTAATACGTAAGAGACAGAGAATGGTCAAATAGACAAATACCATTTAAACAAGCCAAGTCAGGGAAAACCAGAAATCGGAATAACAAGGAACAGCCAAGGTCAAAATACCAGAATATCAGAATCACAAGGATAAACGCACTCTCGGGAACCAGGAAGAGTAAACCACGACAGGGCAAGGTACTGGTGTGAATCAGGGATTTAAATATCCCTCTCTAGGCTCTGACTGGTCAGAGGGTGACCTCTGACCCCAAAATGTGCGCGTGTGTTGACGTCGTGACATCACGCGCACGTTCGTATAATTATGGGGCGCGGAGGCATCGATGGACGCGACCGCATGGTCGGTGCCATCTTGGACTTGCCGGGACAGCATGGAGGAGCAGTTCCCGGCTCGCCGCCGAGCAGGTAAGCTCAGCAATGTGGTGTGGTTGTGCCGGTCAGGCGCAGATGCGCATTGTGGCGAGCCGAGAGCCGTGACATTTAGCTAACTTGTGCCATTACAGAATTATTGCTTCACTCTGATTAACTAAATCATTATCCTATCAGGCTAAATTTACATGTATCCATAACACTCAAGTGTTTTCTATTTTGTTAGGATTTCTGGCCTCTCCCTTGACTCCTAAAAAAATAGATTACTTACCTCTAATCTAGTGGTGAGAAAGTGGCCAGAAAAAGGGGGCATTATGTTAGTTGTTAGTCTCCAAATAATTTCAACAAACTAAATTGCTGTAAGAGTTTGGAGTGTTAATGTAATGTATTGTTAATATGTTTATAAGATGTGTAATTTCATGCTGGATTTCATTTAACTGTATTTATTTTTGTGTGGATTATTATATTACCAAATTTTAGTGGATAGGTATTTTGTATGACAATATGTACACATTGCCAGCAGTAACACTTTGGTCATAATCACTCAAAACAAGCAAGACAAAATTAAGAAGTAAAGGCTTCAGTTTACTTATCACACATGAAAAGCATTGCTAATTCTATAATATACCAATATATTTCAGCACTAAGATTCAGAACTATTTTTATGCATAGTCACACATTTGTGTTCTTGAAACCAAGCTGATAAAAGCTATGGATGAAAACAATATACTTTTCTTATGCCTCTCTGGAATAGCAAGGATCTTCATCTAAATGCCGTCCTGTTCGACTTTAGAAAGTGGCAAGTTAGTGAGTACAAGAGATAGATTTCCCAATAGGGAAACACAAGCCATAAAATGAAAACAAAGAACTCCCTTTGTGCATTGAATCCTTAAAATTTCTTTTCTAACTTGATGATAAATGTTATAAATGTTTAAGATTCAGTCATTCTAAAAATTAATTCAATATTTCATGGATGGTTTCCCTTTTTTTTTTACAATGCAACTGAAAATGATATAGATAGTCACAATCCCAAAGTATCTGCTTATCAGCCTTGAAAGTTAATTTCTAAATCTTTTAATACATGAGTATGGTAGATGCTTTGTTCACATTTCAGGAATTCAGCAACATGAATTACACTAAAAAGGCTGCATTATGCTGTCACTAATAGCCCCAGTGAGGAACATAGTGAGATGCTTACAAATGCAAACCTTAGATGACTATTATTATCTTAAGAACACTTAAATAACATCTGTAGTATTTCCATACCCCAACCTCTCAAAATAAATATTCATTGAATAATAAATCAGAAAGGCAACTGTAATAAAATATCTTAAAATAAGATAACTTTTCACTATAAAATTAGGGAATTAATATTATTATAAATATATATATAAATATATATATATAGTGTTTTATCAGCATTTGTATACAATGAATATAGCTTTTATTTTGTCTGGAGCAAAGAAAAGAAGGAATGGCATATGTGGTGGAGCAGGTATGATATCTCCTAACTCTACGCAGCATAGGCTCTTCACTAAAACACATGTAACAATATATGCTTTCCTCTGGTATGGTCAATATAATCTGAGAAATTTGGGTTAGATCTATAGCAAGAGCATAAGTCGCTTGAATGTGCGTGGTCCTGCGTGTGATACTTCCATTCAGTCTTTTGGATTGTCCCAAACTGTTCTCTCCAGGACTGTCAGCCTCTTGTTGTGCAGTTGTCTGAGCTGTTGGCGTCGATCCTGATGTGACTGGTAGGTTGATAGTATGGAAGATCTCTGTGTCATCAGCCAACATGAATGAATGCAATTGCTTTGCCTCGTGAGACCACCAGTGGTCCTTCAGCCTTTTGGTGACTGGAGCCAGCCACCTTTTTTCTGTGAGGATAGAGAAAGGGAGATTGCTGTATAGTGCAATCCAGTGTCCCTCATGGTTTACTATTCCTATTTCTCTGAATCTGTTCAAAATGACGGCTTTAGATGTTATGTCTCTTGTAAAAGCTATAATTTCTCTGGGTACTGCCACAGGAGCCGTTGCAGACTTCTACACTCAGAATGCTGAGGAGGTATAAGAAGGTTCAGAGCCCTCTTTGAGGCCTGGAGGAGGCTATGATCTTTTACATAATTGGGAGAGTGTTTTTATCGCTCACAATTTCATGCACCCCTCTCATAAAAGGTTTGCAAGCAGTGCCAAACTTCCAGAAACATAATTGTCTGTTTCAGTAGATGGACCTGATCTGTGAGGACCTCTAACTGACCCTGGGTCACTCTAAACTGTTGGTCTCTAGAGGCCTCTATTGCCTCCACTTCTTGTACCTTCTTGTGGACAGCTCTGATTTCAGCCTGAGCCTTGAGGAGGTCAGACTTCCAGACCAGCCTTAGGTCAACCTGCAGCTTTTTAATGTCTACCTTCGTGGAGGGAGAAGAGCAAATGTCTGATTCAGAAGATTGATACACTCCACCTTGACAAGGAGAGGTAAGAGACTCCTCGTCTTCATTAGAGTCCTCTGAAATCTCCGGGTTGTACTGAACCTCTGGCGCAGTGTGGGCTTCTCGATGGGGAGCCTGATGTCGGTAGCTTTGCTGTTTCTAGGCGTGAATGTCACTAGTGCTTGCGCCACATATTGTCATAGGGGGGTACTTTGTGTGAATGTCTAATAAGTGCCAATTTTGGCTGAAATTAATTCTTATTTGGAGGGGCTGTAGTGGAGCCCCACTGAGCTGAGTCCTGTCATGCTGTCTGATGGTCACACTCCCCTCATATAGAAGTATTCAGCAATGCCCTGTCAAGTCTATGCACTCTTCTAAAAATAAAACAATTGTAAGCCCACAAATGCCCTGATTTTTCCATAATACTCCCTAATTTAGTCTCCTTTTTATTCCTTGGAACTGTCCACAGGCTGCACAGCATGAGTGCATCACTATGTATGCTGAGGAACTAGGACTATGCAGAGAGAGCTTCAGCTGCCTGGCTGCTTTGATGGGAGGACAAGCACCCTGTCTTGATGAATAAACCCATTATGGGTATGGACAGTAAAACAAGCTGCATTACTGGAGTAATGTATTTGGTATATATTCATTGTTTTTTATGACTCCATTACATATTTAGATAGATAGGTAGGTAGGTAGATAGATAGATAGATAGATAGATAGATAGATAGATAGATAGAAATATAGAGAGTGTGTTTTATTTATGATGTGTCTGCCTTCAGTTTGCCCATATGTCTGCCATGACTTTCTGTCTGTCCATCCACAATTTTGTTTATCTCTCCTTGTATCTCTCTTTCGCTCTCTGTCCTATTTCATGGGACACTGTTTCATCACTGTTTCTTGCTTAGTATCCCCTATTTTATATGTGTCTGAGCTGCCTTCATGTTCATTTATTTCTGTCTCCTAGTTCTAGCTCCCATCTATTATGTATTTTATATTAAATTAACAATTATTATTATTGTCATTTATATAGTTCCAATTTATTCCGCAGTACTTTACAATATTATCAAGGGGGAATTTAACAACAAATGAGACAGACTGTTACAAAGCCAATAAAAATATTGACAGAAGGGTGACATGAGAAGAGCAGCAAAAGAGAAAGTTAAGCTGGGTAGCAGCTTTCATTATAAACTGTATAGAGGCAGAATGGTTTCTGGAAATACCAATTAGAATAGAGTTACAGTAGTCAGTGCGTGAAATTAGAAGAGCATGAACTTTGAATTGCTGAGATTATAACTTTAACAGTAGTCAAAGAATCCAAAACAGCTACACAAAAGTATTTGTAGAAAGTACATCCCAGGCTAACTAACAGCATTTTAACACTTTTCATTTTAGCATTTTATCAAAAACCTTGGTCAAATCTGTTGATTATATATATATTTATTTTTTTTCACATGTTTTTATTTGGCGAAATTCACAGACCATGTATGTGGTTCCACTTTTGTAACAATCCCATGTATTTATTATACGACTGTTCTCGAGTACATTAATACCCAACATTGCCCAAAATCTTACCTCTGATCCTACTCCTAATCTTATCTCTTATCCTAACCATAATACTGTCCCTAAATATATTTCTTTGTTCCTAATCCAACCGCTAATCAGACCCCCTAATCCAACCCATAATTTCCAAACCATAATCCAGCTCCTAATGCTGCCCCTAATCCAGTTCCTAGTCTCTCCCCTAATCCTACCTCAGAGCGACTCCCCCTTCTGACATTAGTACTGACATGAGCAGAAGGCTTTCCCTGCTCACAGAATACAGAACACTCAGTAAGCCCTCTGTACTGTGTGATTGAAATATGAGAGGGATATATTCCCATCATGTTTCAACTCCTGCACACACTGATTGGTGCTGAACAGCTGTAAAAGGGCATCCTGATCATGGGGCACATAAGGTCTCCCTTAACATGGAGGCAGGCTCAAGGTGACTGGGGCTAAATGTGATCGCTCAACCGCGATGATTAAAAATAATTTAAAGGGCTATGTGCAGCTCTAATTTTGAGCTGATTTTAGCAGTTGGCAAGCTGGGTGCAGCTCCAGAATCACAATGGATGACTGTGATCATTCAGCCATGGTAATATAAAGGGATTTAAAAGGCTATATGCAGCAGTTACTTTGTGGTACTAGTGACTCTAAGATATCCAATAATAACTGAGGCTCCATGGTATCTGCAATGATTTAACCCTACTACTACTTTTAATGCATGGCAAGCTTTGGTGTCAACAGGTGTTAAAGTCCTGCTGCAGATGACTGCATGGTTCGTCATATGGTTATTAAGTTGTTAATCTACTTCTGGTCATGCATGATATGACATCATATATGAAATTGTTACCATATATCTATAAGAAAAGTAACAGTTAGTAAAAGCCATATTTCTTGATGTTTGCAGCATAACATTGTGAATGTTAGTAACCTATTTTTCAGGCTGAATAAATAAGAACAATTGTTGATCCTCCAGGGCTGATTTCTTGGCAGCTGAGCCTATTTCTCTCTTATTCTTGGCACATCGGCTGCTGCATACAGGTCGAACAACCCTATTATAATATATTTAATCTCAGAGACCTTTATTCATTGATACACTATGCAAATTATACAGAATATCAGTTACCTAGTTACCAAAAATGATAAGCAAAATATCATTTCTAAATGTTTTCACCACTTAACTAACTACCATGAGTCTTCTTGCACAGAAAGTACACTCTGGTAATTATTATAAAAAAGTAACTCTGGATCTTGGTTGGATTTGTAAAATCAGACCAGTAACCATAGAAGTCAATTGCATTTTTCTGCTTGTTTTGTTGTTCTCGGTATTTTGCTGCACATTTGTTCTTGCACATTAATGTATCATAATCTTACTGTATCCCAGTCAGTACAATTTTATTGTAATAGTCACTAGTGTTTAAATCCAATTTCTAATAGTACAACAAATCCAGAAATAATCTTTTAAATGTTCAAAAACACAATGAAAAAGGCAACATTTTGACCCAGACAGCTGTCTTTCTCAAACCTTGAAACACTGCCCTTCCTTACTTTCTAAACCAGTAATTCTATGTTTTTGAACAGTCAACAGATGATTGCTTTACTTATTTTACGTTTGCCACTTTGATGGATTGGTAAGACCAGGTTCTTCTTGCAGGCTTGGAAGAAACCTCTTGCTTGGTACATGAACACTGTAAGTGTGTGATGACTTATTACTTGTTTTAACCTTAACTTCTAGTGCTTATAGCTTTTTCAGTAAGTCCACTTGTAAGAGTTGTTGATCATACAGTATTGTCATTGAAATTAGCAAATATTAAATGGGTATTCTAAGCACCTAACTCACTTTATCTTTATGTAATTGTTTTGGATAATTATTTCTGCCACTGCATCCTTGCAGATGAGAAAAGGCACTGTTTAGTAGACTTATGCATTTGGTTTCGATTGCATCCACGTTTTGGGCGATCAGTGATTTAGCTGAATTCCCCAATTCTAAAATGCCCTATGGATATAACACAAAAGAAATTAAATGGGCAACAGATGAGCTGTTTCGCTTGTTTCATGAATCAGAGTTCCATTCGAGGAGCCATAAAAGAGGGGAGGGAATGAAGAAGAATATTTCTGGAGGGCAAATAACAAGAGGTCTGCCTAATTATGTAGCTGCCCTAAAAGCACGGTCTCTTATTGCAAAGCCAATAGACTTAGTCTCCAGTCCATGTGAGTGGATTCAATTATCATCTGTATGCACATATATTATAATTACAATCTGTATTTATTTTTGTTTTCTCTTTTACATATTTGTTCACTACTCTGACTGTACCCTAATATAAGCAATTTATAAAATTATAATAAATATTGCACACACTTTCTCCTATTGGAGATTAACCACATTTGTATAACAAAATTACCTGCCTTATTGTCTAGCTGTTCACTGTAAGGGGAACTTCTTTAAGCAACTGATACAGGTTATTGCTCTGAAATACATAATTCCTTCGCAATCCAACTTCCGGTGGACTGTAGTCCAGTCATTGCACTATTCTGGGGTGATAGTATTGATTAACCCCTTAAGGACACATGACATGTGTGACATGTTGTGATTCCCTTTTATTCCTGAAGTTTGTTCCTTAAGGGGTTAAAGAGCTAGCTAAGACTGTAGGTCAGTCGGTGAACTTCACCACAGGTTTATCGAGTGCATGCCTTCCTCTCTTTGGTGGCATACTGGTGGCTTGTTGCATGGGTATAATGTTAATGGACGAGGTCCAATCTTATCAGCATGTCAGACTCGAAATTAATATATAGGGCAACAAGGTTATCAATCTCTCCTGCCACGTGTTGAAGTGATTGATGAAAATCACACTTCAGAAAACATCTTCCAGGTAAACAGATCAATGGTGGGAAACGGTTGGGTTAGCAGGAAAGCACCAATGTGCACATTGAGTTTGCAGTCACCCAATAGACCTGCTAACATTGTCAAAGCTCTGCAAGATAGATTCTTTGTTCATTTCTGCCCACAGTCTATATCTTACAGTGAAGGCTGCAATTCCTGAAGACACATTTTGAGAATCCAGACCATTCACAAATGTTTCTGCAACTGATGGAGCACATGGCCTTTCTCAAGTTTCAAATTTTCCTAAGTTGGCTTAGTCTGTTCTTCCGTTTACTACTTGAGATGTAAAAATCTGCAATTGCCCACTCACATCTTCTTTCAAAGTTATTTAAACATTTCTAAAAGTATTCTAAAATCTAGTTGTGAAATTGAATCACTCATGCTGATGCTACCCCCCATTTTTTTAAATGCCTTTTCTAATAGGGATTTCACCATGCTTGGTTGAGTCTTGCAGTGTGACTATAACTGCTTGCTCTGCAGATGCAGATTGCCTTCAAATTCAAATATTTTTTCTAAATTTCTAAGATTATTAAAGGTGTTTGTAATATTTATATACATTTAATGGCAGTGGTTTTACCATGCCTAGCTGAGTCTTGTGGTCTGAATATGCCTGCTCCCTTTGCAGATAGCAATTGCCTTCAAATTGAAATCATTAAAAAAATGTCATGTATTTTAAAATGTAATGGTTGTGGTTGTAATGTGTTCATATGCTTTTCATTGTAATAATTTTGGT